CTTATTTTTTCCGGTCAGTATAAATGTGGATACTTTTTTAAATAGGCCAAAATTTTATATTTCCTATAAAGTTTTTTTCGTTCAAAAATCGATTTTCATTAAAGATGGTAGAAAGCATTACGTTTTCTGAACGTATAAAGAATCGCTACTTAAGCGTGAAATTAAAGCATTTTATTTTTTGTGAACGAAGCAATGAACATATGAAGAGATCTCACCAAAATAGGTATAAGCGCAATTGCTTTAATTAGCTTAAAGGATGCTTTAAGCAAGATCTTAATATATATATCGTCCTTCAAAGTACAAAACCGCGTATCAACAAAAAGCAATACCGCGTATGTGACGTTGCATAAATTATTTTCTAGAGAGTAAAAACACTTATATTTTAAAACGGTTCTCTTTTTTATAAAGCAATCGCATTTCTGGCTAGTATATTTCAGGACGAATGGATAAGGATTGAGCCAAGAGCTTGTGTGAGCAAATCCAATTTTTGGCAGCAAATATCAGTTACGTGGTTTTGCAGAATGACGATACGCGGTTTTGTACTTTAAACGACGATATGCATATGTATATAAAGTATCTATAGTAATCTCTTTCATATCACATATTTTCATTTGTTAATTTAAAAAGAAAGAAGATTTCAATGTAGTTTAAAAAACTAACTTTGATTTATTTAAGGAGACTTTTATGAATTTTACTGAAAAGACTTTAAATACACTCTAAAAAATGTTTGTTTATTTTCGCATATTAGGAGAGGTAACCAGTTTCCTCTTTTAATGTGTGCAAATTCGCACGCCGTGTAATAAAATTAATCATTGCCTGTTTACTCTTACATACCAAATTTGTCGCAAGAGCAAAATTACACATAACATGTTTAAAATAAAGTAATGTTTATTATTAGTAGGAAATGAGTAGTCCACATGCAAACAGCGTTATGTGATTTTATAATAGAAAGCCATAAATTTGAAAAAGCGACTACGACAACAAGTAACATTTAAATTGAATCTTTTTTATTATTACCTGAAAATTTGGATAAATAGGAGCCTTATAAAATTGTAACATAACATAACATGTCATAAGATAACATTAAAAGTCTATACGACCTAAAGCAGCTTTCTAAGTTCATCAGAAGATTGATACTTTTGAAAGTTCATATATAAGTATGATAGCGACTTTTGGAAGAAGACAACATTTGATGCTATTTTTTTCAGAATATAAAAAGATTTTGCACTCTGTTGTTAGTGGACATGGATCCACTTTAAATACTGGTACGTAATCCGCCAAAAACTAAGAATCGAGAAAATTTTACATAGCGCACTTTGCAAGTAGACTACTCAAATGTATTTGTAGTT